ATGGGTGTGCATATATCTGCTTGGATGTCAGTTATGGTCTCTTTGGGGTATATTCCCAGTAGTGGAATTGCTGGGTCAAATGGTATCTCTATTTGCAACGTTTTGAGAAAGCACCATACCGCCTTGTTTCAACTAACAGATGCAGCCCTGGATTTGCTCATCAGTCAATACCAGGAAATTTGGAGGATTGCTATCTGGCCAAGGAAGAAATACATATTTGACATATTTGTTCTCATTCCTGAGAGAGAAGCGACTCAACAGAATGTAGAAATTCTCAAAAAAGAGCATGAATATCACAGGCAAGCAAATTATTGCTGAAGATCATCTAAAAATGGCTAGAATACTACAGAGAGAACTGAAGAAATTCAAGCTGGATTTAGAAAAGACCATGCACCAGGGATATCATTGTTGACCTCAGAAATTCTAGTTAAAAGCAGAGAATTCTAGAAGGAGGTCTATTTGTGCTTTATTGACTATGCAAAGGCATTTGGCTGTGTGGATAATAAATTATGGCTGATGTAATTGAGAAGAATAAGAATTCCAGGACTTTCAATTATGCTCATGCAATCCACATGTTATTAAATGCCATGAGCTTACAACTCATAGTAACCCTATATATTCAACAGCTCTGAATCCTGCTGTATCCTCAGCCAACCTTATTGTCCTTGACATATCTACTCCCATTACTCCAATCACTGAATCAATCCATCTTATCCAGGATCTTACTCTCCTGTGCTGTCCCTCCACCCTCTCAAGCATAATGTCCCTTTCCAATGACTGGTAGGTCCCTCCTTGCAACATGCCCAAAGTGTGTCAGATGGAGCTTTAGAATCCTTGCCTCCAAGGAGCAACTTGGTTTTACCCTCTCTAGGATGAACCTCTTTGTTCTCCTAGCAGTCTATGATATTACTCTTCTCCAGCACCACAGTTCGTTCAAAGGCATCCATTCTTCTTCTATCATTCCTAGTCATTGTCCAGCTTTCTGAAGCATATAGCAAACAATTGCAAAGACCATGGCTAGGATCAGGAGCACCTTCAGTTCCCGACTGGCATCGTTCCTCTTTAGTACTCTGGAGAGGTCCCTGATAGCTGACTATCCCAGTGCAATTGATGTTTTGATTTCCTGGCTGTTGGTACCAAGAGTGTTGATTGTGGAGCCAAACAGAAATAATGTAAAAGTCAGAACCCAAATGTCTGTAAGGACAAAATAACAGCTGGATAGAACATAAATAACAAAGTTTTTCAAACATTCCAAGATAAAGAGCCCTCATTGCTTTGTTGGTAGGGAGTTGCACTGCTTACCCAAAGGCTGTGTCTCTCCGGTGGCTACGATTCACCAGCCGCTCTGCTGGAGAAAGACAGGCAATCTTGCCCTTCACTGTTTACAGCTGTGATTCTGATAGCGATGTCAGTAAAGCATACTACCACAGGCATGAGTGGGGATATTTTGTGGCCTCAAACATTGCTGGCATTTTCCACAAGTGTATCTATATAATTGTATTGAGTTTGTTTATAAAAGCACACAGACACCATGAAAAGTTGCTCTATTAAAACCCAGGCAGGTCCAAATGATTTGTTGCTATTTGACTCACCACAATAAAGGTTTGGGGTTTTTTTAATTTAAAAAATTTCCTAGCTAGGTCACAATACTGAGAGACATAACAATATTTCCATGGGTCCACTTTGCCAAGGTTCTGTCATGACAATTTTCAGAGTACCTGGACTACCCATTTCAGACTTTCACTTTTAAAAGTCTGCCCACAAGTCACTTACATTAGCATTCAATATTCCCCCTATAATTCAAGGGATATTTTTTAATTACATACATGGATTTACATGTCCATATGCCACTCTACAAATATGTACATAAATAACTAAAGTTTGAGCATATAACAGTAAATGTATTTCATAGGCCATTTCATGTTAAGATGTAATCCATACTGAAGACCTTTTTCAGTGAGAGCTTCAATTCCTTCTCACTTTTTTTCAAGTCCAATACAAGACTATACTCAAAAAGCTAAACTCATTGTCATCTCGTCAATTCTAACACTGAGCCTACAGGATAGAACAGTGCCCTAGAGTTTCCCAAGCTTTAGGAAAGCAGATCACTGCACCTTTTCCCAACGGAAGTGGTAGGTTTGAACCACCACCTTTCAGTGGGCAGGTGTTTGTACTTTAATGCCACCAAGGCCTTATAAAGAGTAATTCTTTTCTCCATTTCGTTTTTCAACGTGAGGAGGAAAAAAATAAAAACAAAAACTACAAAGTACCTGCAAACCGTAAACCAACCCAAGGGTGGGAGGGAAGCACCACCCTGTAGGTTTGAATCCACCAGTTCCAAGGAAGAAAGCTGGACAATCTTCTCACCTCGAGATATAGCCTGACTCCATCGCAGGTTTGGGTTTCTGGTGATGTATTTACCGACTGTTGTGTTGAGCAGGAACCAACCCATAGTGACTGTCCCGCAGGTTTTCAGAGGTAGTTAATCGCATGGGAAGAGATTACCCATCCTTCTCCCGCAAAGCAGCTGGTGGATTCGAACCACGTGCCTTCTTGCCACTAGGCCACCAGAGCTTCCCTGTTGTTAGGTGTCATCAAGTCATCTATCCATCACAGAGACACTGTGAACTGATTGAAACCTTGCCCTACCCTCACATACTTTGGTCATGTTGCCAGGAGGTACCAGTCCCTGGAAAAAAACATTTGGCTTGGAAGGGTGGACGGACAACACAGGAGGGGAAGACCCTGGAAGAGATGGATTGTCAAGGTAACTGGGGTAAAGAGAGTAGGTGTGTCAGAGACAGTGAGATTGGCAGTGGATAAGGCAGAATTCAGTTACTTGCATAGAGTTGCTATGAATAGCAGCCTACTCAACGGTAATAACGACCATCCACGCGGGATGATTTTAGACAGGCCTAGATTATAAAACTGTTGTTGTGTGTACCGTAGAGTCGGAACCAACCCATAGGTGATCCTCCAGCAGGTCTTCAGAGGCAGTTAATCGCACGATAGTGTCCATCCTTCTCTGCTATAAAACTATAAATACATAAAATGGTTTCACCAGAACGCCTTTACTGAGAGCGTATTCTGTGACAGCAAGCACTTTATTACAATTGCTTCACACTTTTAAACTGACGAAGTGCTTAGAAACATATTTTTTAGTCATTTGCGGCAACGTGTTAAACCCTGCATCTTACCCGCTCAATTCTAAGGGACGAGAGGGTAAAGGTCCTTATCCCCATTCACGCTAAGGGTTCAGCTCCTAATGAAATCAGAGCACAGCAGGGACTTTACGGGACACTTATGTGAGCTGCATAAAATACAGAGTAGTAACAAAGCAGTCCCCCCGCTGGTGTGTTCTACTGCGTCTGCCAAGCCGGATGACCTGTAAGCCCCTAAGGTGAGAAGCAGGGTCAACAGTGCAGTTTTGTTCGATGCAACTCAGCTCTGCATACACGTGCACGAGTAACAGCGCAGTTCCGGACGCCGTCCCTCCAGAACCTGTCCTCCACACAGAATTCAGATTCCGAACATCTGCACTATCACAGCGAGCCAGCGCTCCCGGCCCTGGAAGTGACGTCAGCTGGCGCCCTTGCGTCAGTTTCCTGTCGGGCCTACCTGCCGGGTACGCGGAAGTGCTGCTCGGTGCGGTCCTCTCTCCTCTGATAAGGTCCTCTCACCTCTCATTCGGGGTATCTCGCCCGCCTCCCCGTGGGGAATGTCCTGGAAGCCCGTTCTTGCGGAATAGACGAAGCTAGAGCTCTCGCTCGCTCCTCGGTCGGAGAGCCGATGCCGTCCGCGCCCCGGAGCCCCCGGCTCGGGGCTGGGCCATGAGTCTGTTGGGCAGCCTGGATTCCTTGCCCGGGACCCCACTGCAGTCCAGCAAGGCCAGGATGAAAAAGCTGCCGAAAAAGAGCCAGAACGTCAAGTACCGGCTCAAGTACCTCCGGCTGCGGAAGGCGGCAAAAGCCACGGTGTTTGTGAGTTCAGCCGGCCGTTAATTTACCCGCTCTGCCCCCAGGCTCTCCTGCCTCCCGAAGACTTTCCCCTACTGCTCTCCTTCCCAGTAGGAAGTGGCCGTATAAGTTACCGCTGTACCCCCTTGTTTCCTCACACTTGAGATAACTCGTGTGATTTGCTGAAGGGCATTCCTCAACTTTAGATAAGCCTATTCCACTTCTTCTATTATGAATACACAAACCCATTCCTGTTGTGATACCTTAACTCACCCTGACCACCTGCTTTAACGGGCTGTCAGCTTATAATTATTTTCCCCCTTTGGACCTCGAGTGATTTTTCATATAGGAGGACTAAATTGTATAAATCAACTAGATTGCTACCCACAACTTGTATTAAGATACCTAGTTTGCTCAAGCTTGAAAATAACAAACCTCAAATAATTTCCTACATCCGAATCAGTAGTTTGTATGAATGTGTCCAATTTTTTTTTTCTTTAAAGGAAAATGCTGCTATTTGTGATGAAATTGCTCGTCTTGAGGAAAAATTTCTTAAAGCAAAAGAAGAAAGGAGGTGAGCTGGCTTTAGTTTTGGCGATTAATACAGTTTGATGTTCTGGGGAATTTTCTGTAGTAGATTTCTGTACATTGTACAGCCAGTTAACCCCTTGATCAAGTACAGGAAAATTTACAACTGGTGGTGTATATTCCTACTTAGTCAAAGGGTGTCATCCCCATGGGGATGCAACAGCTCTTCCATTCATCTGGGTAAAGCCATCCTGTTTCTCTTGAGAGATTCCCCTCTCCAGTTACAAAAGCCAGGGGGGATTGAGGGGGAAGAAACAACAAAAGCAACAAAATATTACTCATTTGGCAAGTATTTTTTTTCTGTATGAACTATTTAAAGCACAGTGGGTACATACATACACATAAATCATGGTCCTTCAAGATGTTTCTAATACCTGTCCACATCAAAAAATAGAAAACTCCAGGTGAAGTAGAAATAAACTACCATTCTTATCATTAGTTTTTTTCAAGCAGTAGACTTCAGTATTCCCAGTGAGGCAAGAAGAACTGTCATTTTCTATAAAGAGATAATTTAATTGTTTTTATGCATAGTTTTGGTTTCCCTAGTATTTGAGTGAAACTGAATTGAGAGAAAAACGAGCTCATCAGTTGCTTCCTCTCTTTCCTGACCTCAGGTACTTGCTGAAGAAGCTCCTCCAGCTTCAGGCACTCACTGAAGGGGAAGCACAGGCCTCAGCTCCTCCTCATAGCTCCAGTTTGCCCCTCACGTTTGGTGTGGCCAGCTCTGTGGGAACTGTACAGGGAGCTGGGCCCATTTCCGGACCCAGTACTGGGGCTGAGGAGCCATTTGGGAAGAAATCCAAAAAGGAGAAAAAAGAAAAAGGCAAAGAAAACAGCAAACTGGAAGGTATCTTGAAGGCAGCTACTGATTGTTCCAGTGCCACAAATATGGATAACAAAGACCTAGCACTGGCTAATAGACACACAACAGCCATGGATGCACTTAAACTGTCATCTCCTAAAGCATCCCAAATAGCTTTGAGAAACAAGGGTAATAGAGCTACTTTGGGTAGAGAAATTCTTTTAGAACTGGATAGATGCAAAGAGAAATAGCTGAACCCTCTCCCTCTATCTCCAACACTATTATGTTAGATTGAATCTTTCCTCAAGGTACAGAAATGAGCTAGATGACCTCTTCCATACACTGCTGGCTTGGGAACTTTCTTATGAATGAAATAACAAATCTGAAAAGTGTAAGGCTTTAGCTGATAAGTGTTAATATCGAAATTGGTTACTGCCAGATGGATGGGTTAGAAAGATAACTCCAGGCTTTGGGAAGTCATCCCATGTGCCATTCAGTGAGTATGTAGTATCAGAATTGCCTTTATGCTTAGCATTCCCATGTAATTTGTTCCCTTACCCTCAGCATTGGGAGGGACCTAAAGTGGGTGACCCCAGATTTACGTTTCAGTTCTGAAGAAAACATCCAAGAAAAAGAAAATGGAGGGAGGTGCTCGCAAGCTGGTTCAGCCCATTGCTCTGGATCCCTCAGGACGGCCTGTGTTCCCCATCGGACTGGGGGGTCTAACAGTATATAGCCTGGGGGAGGTGAGTGAGCCCAGTAATACATAGGGAGGAGAATCAGAGGAATATGGGAATGGGGTTGAGCCTTCCCTCCCTATTCCCGTTAGCAACAGCCCCTTGGTGATCCAGCCCAAGCTCAGAAAAATCTCCATTCCCTGGGAAGCCAGGTCAGTTTTGTCTGTTGTACAGCCTATATATGCTTGTGCACAGGCACACTCTCTCACTTCCTCTGATATGAGTCATTCCTTTTAGCCTCAACGTGATTTTGGAAGCTACCACAGTCAGCTGGACTTGTAGGTTCTCCAGTGACGTCAGTCTCAGCTTGGGGGGATTTTTTTGTAGATCATCACCGACCGACCTGGCTTCCATGATGGAGTTGCCATCTACCCTGTGGGCTACTGCAGTACTCGCATGTATGTCAGCATGAAGCATCCAGACCAGAAGTGTCTGTACACCTGCCAGATCAAAGATGGGGGTATGCAGCCACAGGTACACTTTGATAACTATATTTCCCCTTTTAGAACTTTCTCTGTCCTAGGTATTCTACTTGAATTAGGGACTTTTTAGGGTAGATGCTTTGTGGTCATCGTTTGGGTTAACTCCAAGGTGCAGAAAAATTATTGGCCCTACGTGCTGTCTTTACTAATAAATATTTGGGCTGTCTTGTGAATCTGTATCTGATTCTCAAATTGGTACCCTTTGAACTATATGTTACCTCTAAAGTTGCATTTTGATTATGTGAGGTCTTTTCAGGTCTGCTTATTTATGAAGTGCAGGTCTATATCTAGGAAAGATTGGAGTCCAAAGCCAGTCTGATTCACAGGACTGAGAAGAACTGCCCCTTAGGGTTTTCAAGATCTTTATTTCTCTCACAAGAACTGCTAGAGGATTTAAACTGATGACTTTTCAGTTAGCCCCACATTTAGCGTACTTTTCCCTTTCAACTCTTTCATGACAGTATAGATCACTAAAAAATTATCTAGGAGGGAGAAGCAACATAATTCAGAACCTTTGAGCAGGAGTAGAGCTTGACTCAGTGGGAAAGTATTGCTTCACTCCTGTCTTGAATCAAATCTATAATAAAAATCCTGATAGAGAGTGGGATGGCAGTATTTTGCCTGAAAGACAAAATGCTAAAATGTATTTGGAAAGGAAACGATCTGACTCTTAAGTTTCTTTTTTTTAGCTCCTTAACTCATCTGGACATAGTATGCTAGGAAAAAAAAAATCTAGCTTTAATTTTCCTCCACCAGTAGAAATTACACCTTTGTTATATACCAAATACGCTATTAACACTTGAGGCTCTTTTCCTTGATCCTTTTAATTCTTTTTACTGTATAGAGTGTTTTATATTACAAAAGTATATTTTTACAGGGAGTTCTGGTGACCTAGTGGCAAGAAGCTGCACTGCAGTCCCTAAGGTGTGCAGTTCGAATCCACCAGAAGGAGGGGTAATCTCCTCCTGTACCAGTCAGATCTGACTCAAGGGTACACAACAAGAAATAAAAATAAAACAACAAACATTTTTATAATCTTAGGATGAGATGAAAAACCTCTAAGCCATTTGGAACCTTTCCAAAGAGGAAAACTCAAATCTTTTCCACTGATAGTAATAGAAAATGTGATAAGACTGTACCTTTTTTAACCGACAGACAACCTGCAAGACCCAGAAAAACAAAGCAGTTCTTTCTCGCATGTGTCACTGATTGTTGTAATACATTAATATTCAGATAAAGTGTCCTTTTGGAATAAGGTAAAAATCCCTAAGATAAAGCATTGTTTCACAAAACGGTACAGATGATTGGTTAGGAGTGACCCTTACAAGTATTTTAAAGAAACCTCAAAATTGACTGTATCGAGTCCGTTCCATCTTGAAGTAACTCCATTAGGTTTCCAAGGCTGTAAATTGAAGTGAGAAGAGACTTCCCATTTGCCCCTGATGAACTGTTGAGGTCCCTCATCCTTTGAATTAGCAGTGTACCTTGCTAAAGATTGCTGCCAGAGCTCCCTTACTAGTAATTAGGAAATATAATAGAACAAAAATAAAATCTTAGGCAAAATTGTTGACAGTATCTAATGTCTACCAGGGTGATGGTGTTTGTTGTTGTTATTATTAGGTGCTGTTGAGTCAAGTATGACCCATAGTGACTCTATGAACAAATCTGAAGCCTGTCCTATCTTGTGCCAGCCTCACACTTCCTGACACACTAAAGCCCATTGCAGCAGTCACTGTGACAGTCCACTTGGTTGAGGGCCTTTCCTTTCCCAGCCCTCCACCTTTGAAGCATTACGTTCCTCTCCAAGGAATAGCCTCTCCTAGCAGCATGCCAGAAATATGTGAGGCAAAGATTTTGTTCATTTGGCAGTCCATGAGATGTTGAGTACTCTGCAGCACCACTGCTCAAAGACATTCATTATTCTTCTGCCAATCTTATCCATTGTCCAGCTCTTGGATGTATAAGTGCTCTTGGATGCATAACTAGGTGATCAGAAAGACCATGGCCTGAATCAGATGCACCTTAGTCCGCACGCTGACATCACTGTTTCTCAGTAATTTAGAGAGATTCCTGACTGCTGATACCAAGGGTATTGATTATTGATCCAAGTAAGAAAAGTCATTAACTGTTTCAATCTTTTCTCCATCTATTATGATATTGCCTATATATGTCCAATGATAAGAATTGTTTTCTTGACATTGAGTTGTAATCCATTTTGAAGGCTGTATTCTTTGATCTTCTGCAGTGAATGTTTCAAGTCCTCCTCACTTTGAGCAAGCAAGATTTTTTTATCTGCATAATACAGGTTATAGTAAGTCTTCTCCGATCTTGATACTACAAATTTCTTCATAGAGTCCAGCTTCTGGAGTCACTTGCTCACCATATGGATTGAAGGTATGAAGAGAGGATACAACCCTGCTGCACTCCTTTCTTAATTTTAAACCATGTAGCATGCCCTTGCTCTGTTTGCACAATAGTCTCTTGGTCTAGGTATAAGTTTTGCATGAGCACCATTAAGTGCTCTGGGATTCCCATTCTTCTTGATGTTAGCCACAACTTGTTATGGTCCACAAAATGCCTTTTCAAGGTCAATAAAGACATTCTTCTGGTATCTTTTCAGCCAGGATCCACCCAACATCAGCAGTTATAGCGCTGGTGCTAAGGCCTAGTTTTAATTCTACTTGAACTTCTGGCAGTTTCCTATCTATGTACTGTTCTATCTTTTTTAATGATCTTCAGGATTTTGCTTGTATGTGATAGTAATGATACTGTCAGTAGTTTACACATTCTGTTAGATCACCTTTCTCTTCAAATCCATTGGCCAGGCAGCTATTCTCCAAATTTCTTTGTACAGACTGGTGAACACATGCAGGGCTGCTTTTGTTAACTGAAACGAGTCACTTGGTATCCCATTGATTCCTAGGGCCTTATTTTTTGTCAGTGCCTTTAGTGCAGCTTCCATCTCCTTTTTTTATTACCATTGACTCTTACTCATATGGTATTGTGTGGAATTTTTCAATATTAGTTAGTTCTTTATTTCCTCCATCTTCTTTTAATTCTTACTGGGTCATTCACCATACCACCCATAGTATCTTTCAGTATTGCAACTGGAGGCTTAAATTTTTTTGTCCGTTCTCTTAGCTTGAGAAATGCAGAGTGAGTTCTTCCCTTTTTAGTCTCCATTTCCAGCTCTTTGCACATTTCATTATAATATTTGCTTTGTCACCTTGAGCTACCCTTTGAAATCTTCTTTTCAGCTCTTTTTCTTCAGCATATTGTCCCCCTTTTTTTGGCTTCTCAACACTTGAATAATTTTCAGAGTCCATTCTGACATCCATTTTCGTTTTCTTTCTCTGTCTTTATAATGACCTTTTGCTCTCTCATGGGTGATAGCCTTGATATCATCCCACAGTCATCTGGTCTTTGATCATCTGTGGTCAGTACTTCAAACATATTTGTAAGATGATTTATAAATTCAGTTGGAATAGATTCAGGATCATATTTTGGGGTTTGTATCAGGAAAAAAGTATAAATTGGTCAAAATAAAAATTGGTAGAGTCTTGAGAAGACAACTTGTTAATATCTACCAACAATGTTAATACTTTTATCCACACTACTTTTATCAATACTTAATACTTTTTATCAATACTACTGAGTATTCTCCAGAAAAATGTGCAAATATGAACAGTTATATAGAACAGTGTGATAGCATTTGCAATTTAAGAAATTAGAAGTAACTTAAACTCTCATTAATAGGGGAATGACTAAATAAATTATGGTATACCTACCAAGTCAGGAGCTCTGGTGGTCCGCTAGTTAAGGAGTTGCACTTACACTGCCATCCCAAAGGCAGATAGTTTGAATCTACCAGTGGTTCCAAGAGAGAAAGGTGGTCATTCTCTTCCTATGCTGTATACGGCCTCTGAAAACCCACAGGAGGATCAGCTATGAGTCAGTTCTGTGTTGATAGTAATAAGTAAGAGAATATCTACCTAGTAGGATATTACACATACGTTGGAAGAATGAAGTAGGTTTATACATAACAACATGGAAATCTCTTATGACCAAAGCATGGCATTTTGAGATGGAGTGATACAGTGACTTTAACAGTGGGCTCAAGTATGACAGAGATGATGACACAGGATAGGGCAGAGTTTAGATCATTGCTCATAGGATCTCTGTGGGTCATAGGACCTCTAGTGTCTCAGAAGTTGTACTATCAACCCCGTGGCAGGTGGTATGAATCCACTGGCTGCTTCATGGGATAAAGATGAGCATCCAACTCAAGTGTATTTTACAGCCTCTGAAAATCTGCTGGCTAATCAAGTAGAGTTGGTTCCAGCTTGATCACATAGCACAAAACAATAATCCTGACCATAACTGGACCAATAGACAACATGATAGATGTTGTCAGCAACTTAATTTTACTTGGATTCGCAATTCAGCACTCACGCTAGCAGCAGTCAAAAAATAAAAAGACATTGTATGTTGCACTAGGGAAATCTGTCCTGGACCTCTCTAAAGGATATCATTTTTAAGACTTAAGGTGCTTGAGATCCAAGCTATGGTTTATTCTTTGTCCTTGTATGCATCTGAAAGTTGGGCAGTGAATAATGACTGAAGAAGAATTGATGCCTTTGAATTGTGATGTTGACAAAGAATATTGAATGTCCTCTGCACTGCTAGGAGAACAAACAAACCTGTCTTGGGAGAATTGGAACCAGGGTGCCTCCTTAGAGACTTCATCTCATGTACTCTGTGTATGTTGTCAGAAGGGGCCATTCCTTGGAAAAGGTACCATGCTAGGAGGGAAAGTATAAAGGGTCAGCAAAAGAGAGAAAGACTGTCAACATGACGATTGACAGAGTGACTGCCACATGAGCTCTAGCATGGCAGAGAAGATGGCACAGAGTATGGTTCATCTGTTACGTCACTATGAGGAATAGTGGCATCATAGATCACCACCAAGTGCTCTTTATTCAGAGGATAGTTTGCTCACATTGCAAAAAATTATTGCAGTTGTTTAGACCCGAACTAAACTAGTATAGCAGTGCTGGATTATTTGAAGATAACTGTTAGGTTTTCATCATGAATTAACTGAGAAAGATAAATATTCCACCTTGAACTCAAAATGTAAGTCCTGAATGAAATAACAAAATACCAGTAACTTAAACAAGAGGATATTGCCCATCTTTCTCACAAGATAATTGGTTCTCTTAAATGGACAAGGTAAAATCTAATCAAATGAAGCAATAATCACAAAATGGAATCTACTCAGTATATCATAGTAAGAAAATACACAGAAAAATTAAATCCTCTGAATAAACATGAAACAGTTGAAAGCTATTTTTTCAAACTTTATTATAAACGAGTCAGGGGATTAAGCTACAGAGCTTGTTACAGAAATACTTTATTGGCAAAAAATCTTCCATTTTAATATGATTTTGATGTAACTTTTTATAAACCTACTTGTATTTTGTGATGAAGAAAATTAAATGGAAGTTTATCTTCAAAGTGTCCTGTAATCCTCTAGATAGTATCCAAAGGTTACATACAAAGTGACCACATTTGTTTTTTGTACAAAGACGTATAAGTAAGCTTTGAAAAGTAATAACAAATTAGATGAGAACCTCTCAAGGGCAGTCAGCCAAAGAATTTGGAATTCAAAGGACCTTGACATTTTACTTAGCTTTGTTTGAATTTCTGCAGTATAATATGAAATTGTTTTTATCTATTACATCAGCTTCAAGTTGCAGAGCAAAGAAATATCGGTAATAAGACTTTTCTTTCTACATCTCTTCCTCTTTAAAGATAGATCTGATTGCTCCTTTCTCTTTCCCAGTTTGAAATTGTTCCTGAAGATGACCCCCAGAATGCCATTGTCAGCTTTTCTGCAGATATTTGTCACGCAGAACTGCTCAAGACCATCAGTTCATCTGTGTAAGTTGAAGACATACCCAAAAAAGATGACTTTTGGTACAATGGGATCTTTTCTCCTCTTTTAATGAGCATCAATCCCCTATGTTAAAGAAACCCATCCTGCCTCCTTCAGACATCTTAACAACTATTATCTCCAAGGTGTCAAATCACAGAAGCATTTCCTTTGCATTCCTACCTTCACTCCATTCTCATGAACTCATTCTCATCTCTCCTAAGCACTCAAACTATAATTCTCCCTCCCTTATTTAGGGGGAAGTTAATGCCCAGTCTGCTTCCATCAGGAGCTGACTTTTTTGGGTTCTCACATCCAACCATCCACAACCTGATCCAGAGTTGTCCAGGAGCTCGAAAATGTGTCAAGTAAGTGTGGTCAAATAATCCTTGTTGAGAAGTTCCATGATCAGGTGTCCAAGAACTGACGCTAGAAGTAACTACTTAGCTCATTGACACATTCATTATCTTCTGATTGTGAGCCATGGCTGCCCATTTTGTTATGTAACTACTGTTTTCTGTGTAAATTATGACAGCAAGAGGTTTAGGAAGTCCTACAGAACGGGTCACTCTGTCTCTTGTATTTTGGGCTTATGATCAAGAGGAAACAGTCCCTGGAGAAGGACATCATGCTTGGGAAAGTAGATCAGTGAAAAAGAGGAAGACCCTCAGCAAGATGAATTGACACAGTCACTATAGTGAGTGCTTATGCATCACAGAGATTGTGAAGATGGGGCAGCATTAGGCAGGGTTTCATTTATATAGATACATATTTTTTAAGGGAAAAAATTAGCTAATCCTTAAGGAGGGAGGGAAAGAAGTGGGAATGCGTTATTAAGACTAGCAGACAGGGAGCTCTGGTGCCCTAGTGGCAAGGAGCTGCAACTACAATCCCAGACGCGCACGGTTCGAATCCACCAGATGCTCTGCTGGGGAAGGAGGGACAACCTCCTCCTGTACCAGTCAGATCTGATTTGACGGTACACTCACACACACACACACACACACAAAATTTAAAAAAAAGAGACTAGCAGACAACTCTCAAAAAGGATTCCCTTTGATCCTGCAGTTACCAGTGGGTGAAGTTTGATGTGTGCAAACCTGGAGATGAGCAGCTACCCCACGGACTGCTGGAAGACAATGCTGCTGTGAGCTTTGAAGCCTTGCAGAGACAGATTTTTGATGACGATCCGAATGATGCCATTCTGCCAGGTATTTGTTAACTTAGCCTTTCTGGTTTGACAGTTCATTCTGTTTAGGCTACTCTAATCTCTTCACTCAGAGTTGAGGGCCCAACATATCTGAGCAGCATGCATTACATGTTTTCATTTTGTCCACTGTGGAGTGTATTCCTGCATAGATTTCGACCATCACCCCCAGAGGCTACAAGTGAGGGCCTGTGAGCTCAACACAGCAAGAACCTTGATGTCTCTAGCCTAAGACTAATGTGGGACTCCAAGGGAAAGTTCTTGCACAGTGACTGTAATTTCAAGTGAAGCAAATGCCATCAGACTTTAGCCTTGGTTCTGTCTGTATTCCATGGGTTCTTTCCACAAATGAATGGAGTCATCTAGACTGGATATAAATGTAATTAAAATTCTCATTCTTTGCCTCCTGTACTATATGACCTGAGACAAGTTACTTAACCTATCCAACCAGTTTTCTTCATTTGAAGAGAAGCCCTGGAGGTGTAGTGTCTAACATGCTAGGCTGCTAACATTCCAGATGGAATCTGCCAGCTGCTCATCAAGACAAAAATAGGTAGTTTCCTCCCATTAAGATTTACAGCCTTACAAGCCCAGTGGAAGGGCACTGTGAGTCAGACTCACCAGCAGTGGATTTGGGTATTTTGTTGTTTTATCTCAACCAAATAAGGCAGAATTGGGCTGAAAGTGCAAAGACGTTAGGAGTTTAAAGGGCGTATATGTGTCAGATCAGATAGTCTCTTTGTGAGAGAGTCCCAGATGCAGTGGAACTTAAGAATTGTTTTCCCCTTCAGGATCCTTGGACCTCCCAGAGCTTCAGCCTGCGAACTTTGTGGCTTCTTACCAACCCGTGTTCTTGACCCATGAGCCCCTGGTGGATACTTCTCTGCAGCACTTGAAGCCTCTGGCACAGTGTAGCCCAGCTCAGTCTTCAGACTGAAGAAGAAAGCAGACATCCAACACTCTCATCCTTATGGATGTTTTTTAAAACTTAAAATATATTGAAGGTGGCAGCAATTGAGGAGTGAAGAAGATAACACGTCTTATCATGGAGGTTCCCATGGTGACAGTTTTCCGTATAGAAAAAACTTCAGCGGCTTTATTTTTAGTAATAAACTTCTCTTAACAGTTCTACTTATTTTCATCTTGTGGTTATCAGGAAGTAATTTATTTGGCTTAACCTAACTAAGGTAAATATAACTGCTTTATAAATCAGAGTGAAAAGTATCAACTGGCTTAACCTAACTAAGGTAAATATAACTGCTTTATAAATCAGAGTGAAAAGTATCAACTGACTCATGAAGGAGTTATGATGATTCCATCAACCGTCTACCTTCGCATCTGATCCTAGTTCAAAGACTATTCAGTCTCAGCTCCTGAGAGGCTGGCTGCTGCTTTCTTTTCCTCCAGTATCACCAACATCAAATTCCCTGCTTGTACCTAGGGTGGAAAGTACAGATTGAAGTACTCTGCTCATTTTTCCTTCATATTTTGCACATCTTATGAGGGATCAGAAGGTCTCTAGATTCTCTTTTTACCCAGTCTACATCTCCTCTGTAATTCCTTACTGGAAAATGTGCTGTTCAGTACAGTGAACCACACCACACAGATTCCTGTGCTGTGATTGACACTTGGGCCCCATCCTCCATTACCTTGTCATTTAATTGTGCAGTAGTGTAACCCATAGGAGTCCTGGGAGCACATGGCTCAGAGCCCTGCTGCTAACAGAACAGTCCCATTGAGTACCAGTACGCAGGAGAAAAGGCCCGGCTGTGTGCTCCCATAAACATAATAGCCCAGAAATCACTGCTGGGTCAAGCAAGGTTGCTGTGAGTTGGAATGAACTTGATGGCTTATGATGTAACCTTGTATCCTGTGCAGCTGAATTTTCTGAACTCTGCTCGGCACTAAGCAGGGTTGCTGTGGTATTGCCTAATTTCAGTCAGTACAGTTCTCCGTAGTACTTTGTGAGATGCCTTAACTATCCATCCAGCCAGGCCTGGGTGCAACCGGAGGGAACAGAAGGACCCTAGGAGTAGAAGACTGCTGCAGAAGGTGTGAATTGGGCTCTGATTGGAGGAAGGCACAAATGGGATTTGTATCTTAAGTAAAACGTGACCACCAGAGAAATCAGACCAAGAAGCTTGTAGCTCCACTACACTCACTGCCATGTAGTTGGAACTGACTCAGCTGACCTCCAGTAAACTGCATGAAAGAAGATTGTCCATCTGTGTCCCAAGGAGCTGCTGGTTGATTTGAACTGCTAGAGAGGCATGGTCTTTGGTTTAGCAGCACAACTTGTTTCAGACTATGCCCCAAAGCTCCCCATACTGTGCTGGCCACTGTAAACTGAGATTAGTGTGGTAATTCTTGTTCTCTTTTTGGGTTGAGGGTAACTTTGAATTGCTCAGCAAAATAAAATGAATAAAATTTGGATAATAATCAGGGGGCACTACTAAAAGCTATTAATACTTCCCATATTTTTTATTATACTATTTTATTTACAAAATTTGAATGCAGCCTTTCTTTGAAGATGACACTGAAAGGGAAGAAGGAAGCTCCTGTCCCTCCCAAAACTGAAGCCAAAGTAAAGGCATTAAAGGTCAAGAAGGCAGTCTTTAAAGGCATCCAAAGCCACAAAAAAAGATCCATATGTCACCCACCTTCTGGTGGCCTAAGACTCTGAGACTCCGAAGGCAGCCCAAATACCCCTGGAAGAGCGCCCCCAGGAGAAACAAGCTTGACCACTATGCCATCATCAAATTTCGCCTGACCACTGAGTCAGCCATGAAGAACATGGAAGATAACACACTTGTGTTCATTGTATATGTCAAGGCCAACAAGCACCAAATTAAACAACCTGTACAGAAGCTCTATGACGTTGATGTGGGGGCTAAGGTCAACATTTTTATTAGGCCTGATGAAGAAAGCCTATTTTCAACTTGCTCCTGACTATGATGCTTTGCATGTTGCCAACAAAATTGGGATCATCTAAACTTAGTCCAACTAGCTAATTCAGAATACAAATTTTTCTCACCATTATAAAAAAAAAAGTGAATAGTTTTTCAGACTAAATTTTTCCAATTTTCATCAACCCCCCATCAAATTGTACAACTCCATGATTAATTCACCCCTCCCCAGACATTCTCACCCCTCTGCTTCTACCATCACCCCACACCCGTCCTCATACTCATTCTACAATAATGGTTTTCTACAGTATTTGTCCTTGTGGAACTGAGTGAGTTCACTTAGCATAATGCTCTCCAGTCCCTCCCAAGTTAGGTAATACGTAACAAAATCATTGCTCCTGTGTTCTGCATAATACTCCATTGTGTGAATGTGCCATAATTTCTCAATATATTTGATTATGGTTGGACATCTGGGCTGTTCCCATGTTCTTGCAATGGTGAATAATGCTGCTGTGAACATAGGTGTACAAGTCTCTGTGCCTCAGTTCTTTTTCCCTGTAAAAGTTGCCTAAACATATTTGCACTTACACAGAAATTACACAGATGCTGCTTTTCTCATATAGCTTGCTTTAAAGTCACTTTCCAAAGACATTTTAAACTTTTAAATAAAGAAGCATGTTAATGAGTCTTTAGGTTTCTGAGAACAGTGTATTTCAGACAAATTTCAGCCCATTCCCCCTGACAGGTTAGTCTGACTTGGATTTCCAAGACTTAGCAGTCCCAACAGGACTCTTCCCAGAAAACAGCTGATAAATTTGAACCACCAGAGATGCTCTCCCTTAGGGCTTGCAATTTAACTTGGCTATAGGCACACACGGGAGCTCCTTCTCAACTCATTCAAAAACTATTAAGTCAGAACATACTAGAGTACATCACATGTAACAAAGGTATTGTTTCCTAAAACTAATTTCAACTACAGTGTGTATGTCCGTCCATATTAAAGTTATCTCACATGCTTATATATATATACTCATGGGAAGACCTGGAATAATGTAAAATGTTTTTACTGAAGGAGTTCTGGTTAGTCCACTAGGCTGTTGAACCACAAACACAGACATCTATCAAAGTTTGACTCCCCCAGCAGCAATCTCCTATGTGACTTAAAACCTAAGAAAACCGTGGAAGGACCGTGGAAGGTAAGCTTTGATTCAGTCTGGCTCAGTAGCAATGAAAGTTTTTCAGGTTTTCACCAAGTAGCATGGTTTTTAAAAGCTGTAAGATCAGCAGTTTGAACCCACCTACAGGTGCTTTGGGAGAAAGAATTGACAAGCTACTTCTGAAAAATCAGTCCTTGAAAGCCTCTGAGAGCACAGTTCCCTGACACAAGGGGTCTCCACATGGGTATGGGTCAATGGGCACTAGCTTTACATGTATTTAAGACATTTCCTCTATCAGATTGTTCATGAGCAAATTCAAGTTTAACCTTTGCTGAATAAAAAGGTTGACTGACTTAACTGTGGTTGTAGGTATCAATTTATATATCCTTTAAGAATCCTAATGAAATAGTCGGACAAGTATAGAGTTAACTGTCTCATGTAATGTTCATCACAGCTTTGATGTACTAGTGAAAAATTGCATATAAGCCTATACATGTCCATTAGTAGGTAAATGGTTTTTTTATTACTTGTTTTCTTTTTTGTTTTGATAAAAAAAATGGCCAGAGAGGGAGGGGAAGGTGTCACTGGGCA